AGAAAGTGCAAAAAAGGTACAAAACCTGAAAATTAAAGACAAGACATTCATGCTGGTCGGATAAAACGAAATTCAAAACAGTAACATACACCTCAATTAAGTATTTTCAAACATGCAAGTAGAAAAATGAAAAAAAAAAAAAGAAATCAACTACGATCAGAGAAGCACATAAAGACACACACAAACTTCGAGTTACAGACGGACAGAATACTATTCAGCCGGCTCCAGATGGATGGATGAAATTAGTCAACTCAACTAAATACATAAATTCCCAATGAATTGATTCAAAAACATCAGTCACCTTTACATCATCTTCGAAATAAAAGGGTCAGAGGGGTGATGAAAACACACAGTCATTTCATGCAGGTTACCAGACCCAACCAATTGTCAGCAGAACAATGACGACACGTGAAAAGAATCATTCAGAGTAGAATGTTTTTTAATCGAGATAGATATTTAAATTCAAAGAGGAAATGATTGACCTGAATATGATTGGAGGCTTGAATACTGAAAACAATTTACAGATAGATAACTTCTAACTAACTACACATCAGAATCATCATGTATATACACACCACCCCCACATGTTGGTGACCACATTGAAAATAACTTCAGTATAACTACAATTATACATCTCATCCAACAGCTGTACGACAATACTGCACTCCGAGTAATCCACAACGGGAAACTTACGGAATCCTTCGAAGTGAGGACAGGAGTAAGACAAAGCTAGCTGCCTACTATCGCCAATGATTTCCCTGACTGCAGTAGATTGGATAATGCGACAAACAGCGGGCAATGAGGAAACAGGCATAAAATGGACTCACACAAAAACTTTGGAGGATCTGGACTTCGCCGATGATATATGTCTGATTTCCCACAAACTGGAAGATATGCAAGCAAAAAGCAACAAGTTGGCAGAAGAAGCATCCAGAGAAGATAGGACTTCAGGTGAACATAGAGAAAACAGAGGCAATGAAGATTCCTGGTCAAGAACAACAACAATAGACAACGATCAGCATAAATGGGAACCTGAAAGAAACAACTTCTTTTACCTGCCTGGGAAGCATCATTTCAACTACAGGCGGTGGAACTGACGAGGATATCAAAGCAGGGATAGGGAAAGCAAGACAAGCTTTCACTACTCTCAGGTCTGTGTGGAGGTCAACAGCACTCAGCATCAAAAATAAGATCCGAATTTTCAACTCCAGTGTGAAGTCAATGCTATTATGTGGATCAGAGACTTGGCCAGCTCGTCATGGAGGGCATTTTGAACAAACTGCAGACCTTCATTAACAACAGTCTTCGCTCAATACCACTCAAGATCAGATGGCCAGAAAAGATCAGCAACAGGGAGGGATATCTGGGAGCGAACCAACCCAGCAGGAACCGATTGTGCAACAAATAGGCAGGAAGAAATGGAGATGGATTGGCAGGCCATACTCTGAGGAAACCATCAAGTGACATCACTAGACAAGTTATCGCTCGAGTGGAACGCGAAAGGGAAGTGGCGAGTTGGTCGTCAGTGCAAGGGTGACTTGGAGGAGGTCATGTGAAGAGGAGATGAAAACGTGTGGGCAGACTTGGAGCCAGGTGAAGACTCTAGCAGAGAACCGAACGCGATGGAGACGCACGGCTGAAGCCCTATGTTCCTCTAGGAATTAAAGGAAACAATAATAATCATTATAACGATTTAATTAATGAGCAGACGATATATAACTATGCTGTTTCAAAGGTTCAGCGAATCAATGAGCTTTCTTCTCTCGTTTTCAGATAATTTGCTTAACAATTAGAACTAAAAAAGAAAGTAGTACATTTTATTTGGTCGGAAATCTTATGGGAGGATAAAACAACCTGCAAGAAGCTTTTTCCAGCAAAACAGTTTACCTATACATACATACATATGTATGTTTTAGTGAATAAGATGATCGATAAATTAGTATGTGTAAGCACAGAGAAATTACAGTATGTGACACAGTTTGGATTTACAATAGTGAGTGGGTGAGTCAGAAGATTTCGACAATATTCATATATATATATATATATGCATCGATTATAAGTAAATTATCAATAAGGCATGAATGATTGTTTTAAAAAGAAATACTATATATATATATATATATATATATATATATATATATACCGGTGATATTTGAAATTAAACCACTTTTTTCTTACCACCCACAGAAGCTATTCACAAACAGGAAAAGCATTGTGCTACATATATATACCGGTAACATCACTCGATTAAACCACAGTTTGAAGTATTTTACTGTTCAACAAAATAAAAGCGTGCCTGATGAATACGATTCAGAAACCACGCCAAAAATTTCGGTCACACAATCAGTTAATCGATAAATATCTATGTTTTAAAGAAGTGAATTTGATTATTCCATACTGGTTTTCCATATCAGTCAGCAAAGTTTTCAATATTTATATTGTAACTTAAGCAAGAATTGCATACTTTAATCTTTAGGAATTCAAAGGTATGCTAAACAGTAAAACCGTTTCCTAAATTAACCAATCCTATACTGAAGAAATAAAGCAAACTTGTTCTTCATAGGTCACTTTGGTAAACAACCTTGTCATTTTACCGAATACCTTGAAACCATGCCGTAAACACGTGTATGTGTGTGTGTGTGTCCATTTTACATTTGTATCTGCTGTCACAGTGAAAAGACGAAACATAACAATAGAGAGAGGAAAAAATAGCTAAAAGTACTTACGGAAACGGAGCATCCAGCTTCAACAAATAAGAATGCAAAAAGATTTCCAATATTATCATTAATTTTTAGTTACAACACATTAATTATTTATATTCTATAACCTCTTGTCGAGTATTCCTGTAGGTGAGACTATGTGAGGCAGCTCCGAGTTGGTAGACTGCTAGTGATCTACTAGATAATGACTAGAGGTCAAATAAAAAACTTAACTGCTTACAAAGGGCTATGTCATATTGGTTGGATTAGAAGTCCTTATAAAAACTCAATGATACCCTAGTTTCCCGGCGTTCTATGTCACAGAGAAAGTGTTAAGTGTAAGACTTAAAAGTTCTTATGGAATTAGCAGAATCATAAGTAGGTCTTTTATCTTATTTATAATTTATGGTGGCAATATTTCAAATACCTCGTAATTTTAGTTATTAAGACTATGTTTATAATACTAAAAGGCTGCTACTATCATTATTGATTTCCTATACCCTACAATGTTGTATTTTGTTGTTGTTGCTGTTAAGTTAATAAGATGCCATATTGCACCGAATGCTGAGAATTCCACACTGTATCATAAATACTGTTTTGGAATAAAGCAAATCATCATTACTATTATTGCACGAAACACCAGCAACTAAAGTGGAACAGGCTGCAGGCAAGATAGACCTCAAAACACTATGTCGAATAACCACATCGCTATACGGGAAACGTTCAGCACAAATCAATCTGAACAAAGCAAGAACTACAGTTTTGGCAGAATAAAGTGGTACCATCTTTTATTTCGTTGCCTTCTCGTCAGCTGCTTACAGGCTAAAGAAATTATTAAATATATCTTCAAAAAAAATTTCAACATACTTGCACAGAGTTCATTTTAAACAAAAATCAATCAATCGATCAATATACGCATACACTAATAATAATAATAATTATTATATACATATATATATATATATATACATGCAATATTAAACTTTGACAGCAATCTGATCTTCTCCCACTGCCAGAGTCGGAATTCAAACGCCTACTGTTAATGTGTACCATGGATGTGCAATTCCAATTTGACAACACTCTTTACCGCCAAATAGATGGTGTAGCTATGGGCAGTCCACTTAGCCCTGTTTTAGCAGATATATTCATGTCCAGCCTGGAAAGAACAAAGTTGAATCATGCAATAGACGAAACAACTTCGTACTGTCGATATATTGATGACACATTTATAGTGTGCAAAAAGGAAAGTCATGCTTCACACTTATTAAGATTATTCAATAATGCACACATCAATATTGAGTTCACTATGGAAAATGAAAGTGAAAGGAAGTTCCACTTCCTCGACATCGCCATGGAACGCCTAGAAGACGGTAGTCTTCAAAAGTCAATTTATCGAAAGGACAATACTTACATTTTAATAGCTTTTGTCCAAATAGCTTTAAACGTGTTCTAGTCAAGACTCTGTACTATACAGAGAGGAGAATATGCTCTATAGAGAAATTAGAGGAAGAATTTGAGTTTCTAGAAAAGACATTGAAGAGCAATGGGTACTCTCAAAGGTTCATTAACAAGTATGGAAGGTCTGAAGTCACAAATGTAAAACAAATCACAGTAAAAAAAAGCCAATCTACTTTCAACTTGATTATAAAGGTAAAACACTGCAGCGATGATCAACAGAAGGCTGACTACGTCACTAGCCATAGCCTATCCTGCAGCTAAGCTCTTTCCCGGCTATCGAACAGCTCGCTCTTTGGTGCAATCAAAAATCGATAGATATCCTTCTCATGTTAACTCCAACTGTATATACAAATTTGCATGTATCTGCGGGAGTAGTTACATTGGAAGAACAGAAAGAAGGGCATATCTACGATTTTCTCAACATGTACCGAAAAGCTTATGTCCAAGGGGAACAAATGCTCTAAACAGCGCCATTGCCAGGCATCTCCTTGACATGAGGTGGACATCGAAAAGTCATTCAAAATTATCAGTAGGCAAAAGAGCTCAATTCTGCTGAAACAATTTCCATCCAGCGCCTGTAACCTGATTTGTGCATTCAGAAAGAAACAGTTATCAGTCTTTCTTTGCCAACCTGGTAACTGGATATTTTCATCCCTCTTTCATCTGAATGCGTAATGCTGAAAAATATCCATTGTGTATGATTATTACTGTTCGGAATAGTGTTTAATATTACATATATGTATATATTATTATTTTATGTATATATTGATCGATTGATTGATTTTTGTTTAAAATGAACTCTGTGCAAGTATGTTAAAATTGTTTTTGTAGATATATTTAATAATGTCTTTGGTCTGTAAGCAGCTGACGAGAAGGCAACGAAATAAAAGATGGTACCACTTTATTCTGCCAAAACTGTAGTTCTTGCTTCGTTCAAATTCATTAAGGGGAATAAATGTAACAGATCAATCTACTTGAAGGTAGTCAATGAAATTGAGTTATCAAAGAGGCAGAACACAAGAAACGCAGGACTAACCACTTCAAAGGACTCTTCAACAGACCAGCATCTAGAACACGTCCAGGAATGCCAGCAGCACCAGAGACAGAGCTACCGATGAGCATTTGCTTTCCGACAAAAACAGAAATTTTGACAGAAATTCAGAACATAAATAAGAGAGAGGTAATGAAGAAACTCAACTAACGATAGCAACAAGCTCCAAAAATCATCGACGGGAAGAATGCAAAAGAAGCCACCTATTTCATTAACCTTAACCTTGTCAACATCCTATCAACTACAGGTGGCGGCACGGATGATGATGATGATGATGATGATGATGATGATGATGATGATGATGATGATGATGATGATGATGATGATGATGATGATGATGATGATGATGATGATGATGATGATGATGATGATGATGATGATGATGATGATGATGATGATGATGATGATGATGATGATGATGATGATGATGATGATGATGATGATGATGATGATGATGATGATGATGATGATGATGATGATGATGTCAAAGACAACTAGAATCGGATTGAGGAAGCAGGACAAACATCAAGAAGAGCTACCACAAACTGAGGATCAGATGGCTGGTCAGAGGATGACCAAACAAGGAAGAACTCTGGTGGGCAGCGAACCAACCAAGAATGGGAAACGACGAATTGGGTGTCTGACGGTGATAAGCAGGAGAAAGTGAAAGCTTATGGTCAATAGTACAACCAGCCGAAAAGACTGCAGATAACAGAGTGAAGTAGCGATGTTGTGCTGAAGCCCAGTCTACCAATCGCAACGAACAATAATCACAATTTTGAATATTGATTAAGTTGATCTAATAAACAAGTAACATTGTCTCACATACATATAATAATACGTATTTCACAATTTATAGACACATTGTCGGCAAACAAAAATAAAAAACGTAATTTTGTTGTAACATTTCAGTTCATACACATAACAATTACAGCCTTGACACTTACTTAAATAGAATAGGTATACATAGTATGATGCCATTTGGATACCTTGTCAAAGTGACAAAGAGCGACTGAAATCTATTCAAGAACTGACTCAACACATCATGCTCCTGTTTGCCTCAAGTAAAATATTTAACCGCATCATCCTAGAAAGACTACGACATGTCCTAGATGGACGATTTGGCGCAGAACAGGTGGGTTTCAGTAAACAATAGTCAGGCGCTGGCTAAGCAACAACACTACGCTTCACCATCAAATAGAACCCATAACTAACTGCATTCAATCGTAACATGAAAATGTAGTGAAAACAACAAGGCCAGAAAACTTATTCGCCAAAAAATATATATGTGCCTAGTTGACTGTGACAGCTTAGAGTTGTTACGAAGTGCATATACATTATTAGAGCAAACACTAGCTATATAGAAGAGAAAGCATGGCGTAGCTTTGAAAAGCAATGTTTTGAAATAAAGCGATTTATATAATCAATTACTTTAAAAAAGATAACAGCTAACAACGAATCGAAGAGTCCAGTCCAAGTATTAACTGAGAAATTGTTCATTCATCAACCTTTTAAATGAAATTTAGTGAGTGCTTATTGAGTAGCAAAGTTTGTCCAAATTTTCTTACCATTATTACTAAAACTTCAAGCCAGATTAATAAAACATCTAGACGAACATGTTTTCATTAACATAGCATGAAATGATCATCAGCCTGAGTGACTAGAAGAATACTATGGCTTACCGGTGATAATAACAAATGCATCTATATTACAAACTACTTTTCAAAACTGAGGTTCAATTCAAATCACCTACAATCACGCTAAATTTTCCCAGGAACCAACACCTACCTGATTGTGATACAGAGTTTGCAAAAGATGTGTCTAATCAAAAACCAGGTAACGCAGTGGAACTGATGTTATCATCCAATAGGTGCTTAAGGAGGATGGCAGTGATAAACTACTGACTGAGTTAACTAAGATATATTTGGTAATGTATAAGAATCAGAAGCTCACACAGTTTACTAACTCACTAGTTTTCTCGCCGGTCGCAAGCCCCGGTAAAGAGGAAGGGTTGGGCGTAGTTTATTATTTATTATTTTATTTATTTAAACGCAGAAAAACTTGGTACAATATGGCACCAAGAAAGATGCGCCACACAATAATAATGAAACAAAATAGATTCAAAGTAAAAATATAGGTAGAAAACGGATAAAGAACTTCATCAAGAAGGAAAACAGTCATGTTTAACAAGTTCAAACAGTATTCGTTAACTATCATCAGGAAGGGAAGAAAGAAGGAAATTGCAGCACGTTTGCCATTGATTACGATTCTTGGCCATATCCGATAACGTTTCGAGCCATCGATTTGAGCTATCTCGCGGACCCCAACCAGGGAGTCGTGACACACCAACCGATGCTAATCTAGCACAAATATCCTTCATCCCACGACGCCACGTCATGGACTGACCACCCCTCCGCCTTTTCCATCCCGTCCCAGGGCTAGCGAACAGAGACCTGTACGGAAGCCTCTGGGATGACATTCGCAGCACATGTCCAAGCCACCGGAGCTGGTGTTTCCAGATGACGACACTCAATGAATGGTGATCTCCACTGTGTTCAAACACACGCCGCCGAACTTCAGAATTACTCACGCGATGATGCCATCGAACGCAAGCAATCCTGCGGAGACAGCGATGATCGAACACGCAGAGTCGCCGCACATCCTCAGCTCGGAGAGGCCAGGTTTCACAGGCGTAGAGCAAGATAGCCCGCACCGAAGCATTGTATACCCGACCTTTGACAGCCAGGCTAACGTCGCGACGGCGCCAGAGGTGGCACAAGTTGATGTATGCCACCCTAGTCTTCATTATACGGTTGGAAATCTCATCCGTCACCCGTCCGCCAGCACTCACACAACTACCCAGGTACACAAACTTATCAACAACTTCAAGCGGTTCACCCGCAAGAGTTAGTGCAGGTACAGGCTCCTGCCAATCTTGTAACAGTACTTTGCACTTAGACGGTGCAAAGCACATACCATACACACAGACACTGATCGCCAACTGATTAAGTGCGATTTGGGCAGCCTGCATGCTATCGCACAGTAAGACGATATCGTCTGCATACTCGAGGTCGAAAAGTCTATCTCCAGGTAGCAGATCTACACCACCTTCACGCACATCCTTCAGAGCTGACTCCAGAATGTCATCGATGGCAAAGTTAAAGAGAAATGGTGAGATTGGGCAACCCTGTCTAACCCCACTGTTGGTTGGGAACAGTGGTGATAGTTGGTTGTCTGCCCTCACTCTACCTGAGGTGTTTCTGTATAGGGCTTTCAAGATGTTAACAAATTTCTCAGGTATACCTCTCTCTAACAGACAGTTCCAGAGCACAGTTCTGTCCAACGAATCGAAGGCAGCCCTAATATCAAGAAACACAACGATCGTTGGCCTGCAATACGTGTGGCGGTGTTCCAACAACTGACGAAGGGTGAACACATGATCAATGCATCCACGACCTGAACGAAACCCAGCCTGCTCTTCGCGAATCAATCCTTCACGTATTTTGCACAGTCTGCGAAGCATGACAGCAGCCAATATTTTAGACGCAACTGGTAACAGACTGATACCCCTATGGTTGTCACACGAATTACGTCGACCCTTTTTAAAGATGGGGACGATAATGGCTTCGTTCCACATTGATGGTACGCTCTCTGTCTCCCCCACCCTCCTGAACAACCCAGTTAGAGCCATTGAGAGTCTCGCCACCCTCTTTAAAAAGAGCCGGGGGTAATTTGTCTGGGCCGGGCGCCTTATGGCGTTTTAACACTTGGAGTTCCTTACGGACCTCTGCTTCGGTGGGTGGGTGTAGGGATAGCGAACCAGAACCAATCGAACTGCCACAGAAACTTCAACGCACAAGAAAAATATGAAAAATTCAAAATACAAAATTATTCTTCGCTGGAATCGGAGAGACAAAACGATACAGCGAGCTGGTGAAAGGCTTCAAGAAGCCAGTCAGCCAGTCGATTTGACTTCTCTCGATAGAAGCGAGAATAAGAGAGGGACGAAGAATATACGCACATTGCATGAGGCTAAGAAGGCTGCTCAGGTAGCCAAAGAAATGATAAGATATGGTATAGAAGTACTGGGAATCTCCTAAAGCAAATGGAGTGGATATAAACCATCAGAGTTGTCAACTGAACAGTCAGTAATCTTATTCGGCCGGGTTACACAGACGACAACCACCAGCACACTGGGGCAGTGAGTGACTATTATGATGTCGCCAATGGCAGGGAAAACACTTATGCAGTGGGAACCGATTTTATCCCGCAGGATAATGACAGCAAGATTCGACTCAAAAGGAAGCAAGGAACCTAAAAACTATCCAACGCTACTCACAATCTTACAAACAATGTAGAACAAGAGAAGAAGGAACAACGAAATCCTTATGGGTGATATGAATACAAACCGAAGAAAACGCACCAGGCTCTCACCGGAAGAAATGAATGGTAACGGAGGGCTCTTCGCAGACTTCTGTGCTTTGAATGATTTGGTGATCAGGACAGTGTGTACAAGCACAAGAATATACACAAGGTCAGCGACATGGATTTCGCCTGACGGACACACCACAAACTTCAAACTCAATACTGCTCAAAGAAGTGGAGACGCAGCCGTCTGGACACATAGTCGAGAAAGGGAGCAGATGTGGTCTCAGACGTTCATCCAGTTGAAGGAGTCTACAAAGTAAAGTTGGAAGCCTTCACAACAACCAGACAGACCACTTTAATTCAAGTTCAACCTCAGAAACTGAAGGAAAACACCACAAGGAATAACTTCAATACAGATCAGATCAGAGCAACGTCAGAGACACTAGGTGATATCACTGAGGAGATCTGTGTGGAAGAACATTGGAAATCTCTGAAAGTGATATTCAAGGAAACGTGTACAACTGTTCAGAGAAGAAAGAATAGAAAAAACGATATGTGGCTCTCAACGGACACAACTACCTGGAAGCTAATCGAGGAGAAGAGGGGAGAGAAGGATGGAGAAAGAGAAGATGAATCAGTGAGAAGACGAACAACGGAATCAGAAACTGAATTCAATGTACATTGCACTGTATCGAGAAAGACATCAAGAAGGGTGCTAGGAAAGACAAAAGACAATTCTACGACACAATGGCTAACCACTGAAGCAGAACAGACAGGCTGAAGGTGAAAAAGACCTCAGAACATTATATCAGATAACAAGACTGCTTGCTATCCGGGGAGAAATCAACCCAGATGATGAAACCTGTGAAAGATGTGCTGAAAATTCCACACTGTACCACTAGTACTGTTTCTGGAATAAAGCTAATTATTATTTTTAAAAGAAAAAAGTATTATTATTATGTCCAAGGGAACCTGATTACCACGAAAGAGGAGAGACAAGTGAAACAATGGGTTGATCACTTCGAAGGACTCTTGAATCGACCACCACCACCAACTGCAACTCGTCCAGAAATACTGACACCACCAACAACAGCACGCACTCAGCTGCCTGCCAGTGGAGTCCAATTCTTCAACGGAAGCAGAAATCTTGAATGCAATCAAGCTACTGAAGTCCGACTGGGAAGGCAACAGGACCAGACAATATCACACCACCTAACCAGCTCGGAGGCACTGGAAACGGACCCGGAGACTGCAGCAGATGTACTCACGCCATCATTGCATCTGGTGTGTGGAGAAGAAGGAAGGAGAAGTGCCTGACGACTGGAAGAAAGCCTGACTACATTGTCAAGCTACGAAAGAAGGCTGACTTATGCCTCACTCACTCACTCTGTATGAACTGGCGTGGTGTCATACTCTCATCCACGTCAAGTAAAATACTAAGTTGCCTCATCCTGGTGAGAATGAAAGATGCACTGGATACAGAACTCCACCAGCCCACTTACCAGAACAATCTGGATTCAGGAAAGGCAAATCATGTGCTGATCAAATTGCATCTATACTAATCGTCACCGAACAAAGCATAGAATGACAGTCAAACATGTACCTCAACTTCACCGACTTCGAAAAGGGCTTCGACAACGTCAGTCATCGAGAGGTGATTAGCAAACTGTTTCGCTACCACGGGGTGGCGCCCATAATTATACACCTCATCCAACAGTTGTGCGGTAATGCTACACGCCAAGTAATCCACAACGGGAAACCCACGGAACCCTTCAAAGTTAAGACGGGAGTAAGACAAGGCCGGCTGCCTACTATCTCCAATGATTTTCCTGATTGATGACGGTGGACTGGATAATGCAACAGACAGCGGATAACGAGGAGACAGGAATAAAATGGACCCACACGAAGAACTTGGTGGATCAGGATTTCGCCGGTGATGTCTGATTTCTGTTGGAAGAGAACGAAATGCAATAGAGACGTGTGGCTGAGGCCCTATGTTCCTCTAGGAATTGAAGGAAACAATGACAATAATATAATAATCTGGATATGAGCGCATGAAGAAATGTCACCAAACCAACAGCCTGTGTACTCACTACCGACGACCAACTTTTCCACTATACAAAGTGTTGCATATGGTTTGGATGACAGTGTTTCAAGACTAAACTGTGTGTTCAACAAACTCTAGTGATTAATTGAATGAACTAGTTAGTATTACATCCAAATCTTGAATAAGACAACAAAGACAACCACTGATGAATGCTTTTCGGTGTTATTTTTTCCAATGAGATTCACAGTACTGTCCAGTTAAATGCGTATTTATCCATATGCATTTGAAAACCCCATGCTCTCAAGATTGATGAAATACACAGTTGATAAAAAAACAGAACGTAATGCTACAATGTACCTACTGGTGTAAATACCCTTACAAATTCAGAAAACAGTTAAGTACTTGTTTCACGAAAATTCTGCCCTTCATAGCAGTTAATTTCGAATAGCTTTGCCATTCGCTGCAATTTCGAGCGCATACTAACTATAAGAAAAACTTAGTGAACGAAAAAGACTAAAAGTTCGTTGTAACTAATGTGCTGTCAATCCCAATGCATGATTCGCTTCGGTCAATGGTGCATAAGACGCACGACCAGGTGCTTAGATTTCATATATTGAGAACAGTGGTGGATGATTGCCAACCAAAACTAGTACGTGACTGGCAGATCACCAATCACTCATTGGCAAGGTGAAGCATGTCTTCTAATACTGCTCATATCAAGATAGTTGCCGGATCGGAAGTATAGCGAGTGCTACCACTCTTTGTCATCTAGTTTTCGGGAATCATCCCTATTCTCCCTTCAATAATGATGCTACAAATTTACAATGCGAGTTTGCTTAAATTCACATCCTTTTTCGAGGTGTGAGAAGTTAGTTCAGATACTTTACTACATAGCACTTTCAGAGTTGTGTTCACTTAGATTCCATAAGCAAAATCCTACTTACTTCAATATCCCAAGTATTTCGAAACTCCTAGCGTCTCAGAAATTAAAGACTAGTGACATCATACAATACGCATGACGATCGATTTTCGGTACACAAACTAGAAATTCGGTAAAAGGTGGTTTCAGAATTTGTGGACAATTACAAATTCCTAACGGGCATCAAATGTGTAGCCATCACAAATCTAGTAACTGAAACTCTGAATTACATTGACACTCACTAGCCACACAAATTCACTGAAATGCCACAATAAGCAGTGAACATACCACTTCAATGCCTACTATTTGTTCTACTAAACTCTATAATCCTCGGGGATCATACAACCGATTGTGCACGGGACTATATAAAGAGATCAGATATAAGCATTCAGTCTATGAATACTTCGATATTGCTGTACACACAAGACATGATACTACTGGTTTGAACAGGCTAAGGATTGGTCAGGGTATTGGTATGTGAAAGCTAGTTTCGTAATCGGATATGCTGTAGCACACGTGACAACAGTAAGCACCAGTGTAATTTGTTTACACTGCTTTGGAGGTCTGAGGGCGATCAGATGTGTAACATGTCCTCCCCTTCAGACTACCAATAAGGAAGACATGCTACCTCTCAGCTCTAAGGGGAGAGGGGTTAGAAACGGTCTACCCCGAAAACTGTGCATCCCGACTTAACATGTAGTGGTCCGTGACCCACATGGACTGCTGATGAATATTTTACTTGTTAAAGCTAGTCACCAAGAGAAATGCACAAGCGCTTAAAGGACGGATCAGGTTGCTCAACTTCTCCGAATCAATTGTTTTCTGAAAATACTTTTGATAAGAACAACGTATTGCTACCATTCATTTTAATAGGTCACTGGCACATAATTTACAGTAACATAAATGTACAAAAGAAACAAACACCACTATGACTGATTTAATCAAATGAAACCACATATGACTGCAATACACTCGAGAAGTTAAAAAGTAGTCCGTAATCAGCATGCTTTTATGACGCTGTTGCGAAGCCAATGCCAAACACATCACAATACCTTCCAACCCCAAACGGAGGAAGTTCAGCTCATTGACTGTCAACTACGACGTTGAAAGACCGATGGCTAACTTACGACTGTAACACGAAACGAAATTTTACAAACACTGTCTTTACTTCGTTACTTCCCGACCAGTTACACAAAGAGTCACATTAAACTTCAAGAAAGGATGTAAATTCATCACGAGTACATCCATAATTGTTAACCCATAGGTAAACTCGCATGTTTATACAAAGTGTCAGTGCACAATAAATAATAAGCACAGATCAAAATGTGAATGAGAGTAGGAAATCTACACACAAAACGTTTCAGAAGTGGACAAAACATAAAGAAACACAAGTGGAAGGTAAGACCGAAAAGAATAGTACTTCAAGAATCGAAATTCATCGCGACATACAGGGGTTTAATATGCAATTAATAAACATACACTGTTAGCGTGTAATGTGCAAAAGAAATATTAAGGATTGTAAATATGCACAAATGAAACAACCTAAGAAATAAGAAAAATAGAAGTCTACATTTCCACATAAACTCACGTACATGTGTGTGTGGAGGTTTATAGCATGGGACAAGATAGATAATACAGAATAAAGCAGGACGACAGTATTCAAGATATATTCTCAGACTAAAGTTATTAGAGTAGTAAAACAATCACAAAGTATCGACTGAAGACAAGAAATAAAGCAGTTCATTGGTCAATCAACAGCATAATTAGCATATTATTTTACAATAATTAATCATTTGACTGAGGCATAACTGAAAGCACATGCGTTAACAGTAATTGTGTACAAACAGAATATTTGAAGATAGAGCGCCTAGAAATAATGCAGGCATTTGATATTATGGGATACAAATGTATACATGAGCAGTCTCCAAATGTTTGGTCATAGGGCAATTTATTAAAACATGGAGTATGGTCATAAGTTCCGTAGTTCAGGGTTACCGGAAAGAATCTCGGCTACCAAGCCATCACTATCACTTTTTTTCCACTGTGACAATGCATCTGCCGATATTACCTTCTTTTCAACTAAGGATGAAAGCCATGGTGCAATTAGAGCTAAAATGAAAAAAGAAAAGTGTACCGCATTGATAACTATATACTGCGTGTACTGGGCATTTGTTGACATTCGTCTAGAAAATGCCGTAGTTTGAAAATAAATCAACACCTTACTGAAGATCAATCAATAGTGCGTTTGATATTTCAACCGATTAAATACGTGTATTTACCTTTATTAATCGACGAGTCCTGGAAACCGGAAAGGACATGAAATTCTTTGTCAGGTTTGTGATCAATCAAAATGTGGAGAGACATCACAGTTGCGTCAATTCCCGTCTTTGACTGATCTAAACGTTGAACATATGACAAAAAACATGATATAATGATAATAGGTTATGTGAAACAATGTAGATATATTAATATTACTCGCCGTTTTGACTGAACTAATTGCCTCAATAAACACCATACATAGTGGTATATATATATATATATATATATAAGTGCGTCAAGTGGGTATATCTAAGCAACTATGATGATAAACAGCAATTCAAAACACATACGAAGTTCACATATTGCTGAGATAAAAGATGAAGTAAGCTGTCTGTAAATCTACTGAAATGCGTTTTACCTAATCCTTACTTGACTTATTAATCAGAAATTCAATGGCCAGAAAAGATTTCCGAAATAAATCATTGCAGAAATTCCATATCGATTTGCAGAGCAGGACATAGAAACGATTGCCAAAAATAATCAGTTATTCAAATAGAATATAATGGTAATTTACAAAAGGAAAGCATGAAAAAATGTTGCTAAGGGCATTAATAACTTTGAAAAGATTAACATACCGGAGGATTTTAGGAGAACTGGCATTATCGACTGCATGAACCACTTAGATAGATTACTTTGAGACAATTCATTGAAGTACATGCGTACCTTTTCAGAGGAAACGGAAGGATTCGAGACAAGATCGGTAAGCTCCCTGAGTTTTTTGCATTCAAAGTCATAGACACCAGCCATTGTGAACTCTATAGATCGCTCGTATACAAAATTCCAGGTTTTATCCGATGGAACGCCAAGTTTGGCCCACATGAAATTACAATTTCGAAGTTTTAACACTAACTTATCAATAGTTGTATTCTTTTTGCTTAATGAAATACAATGAGCCATCAACTTAGAAGCTCGATCATCAGAGCGAATGGGTTCTACTAGCTCCAACAACACAGCCATATAATCCGATTCTCCGGAAATAAGATGATGGAGAATTTCTGCTATATACAACCAACCTTGGGGATAATCAGCAGCCCAATCTGAATCACAAAATTTGAAGAAATTTTCACATCTGAAAAAGTAAAAGGGTATGTATTGAAGTACTGATCATACGATGTATGTAATTAACGTAGGAATAAAGGTGCAGAAGTGGCACGAAAATACAACACTTCAGGTCCAATGAAAATAATGATACTGAAACTTTAAAAAATTGCAAGGAAATGAGCGATATTTGATATTGAGGTTTTCCATAGCCTGGTATACACAATTTAAACTGTATCTTATTGGAATAAAAATATCTGAATTTTGGAAAATAAAAAACTCACGCTGTAATGATATCACTTTCTTTGAGGACTTTCTTGCGGAGTAAATCTACACACAAATGACCAGTTGCGTGACGCTCTTTAGAAGTCCGATCCATTAAAAGATCGAACATATTGTGGAGCAAAGCTGGCCGTTCATTGGGTTTACATTCAACAACACAGTCATGCTAAATGAAGATGGTAAACAAAAAAACATGGCGTTTGTAGGTCATAAAATGCATTCAACTCATTTGCAACACAAATGTAGTGTTTACTCAATAACGCACAAGTGCATGGAGGACCTTGAACACCAGAATCTGTCAAAACACATATTATTTCATGTTTATGTACTATTCTATTCTCATTCCAGAAATACCAGTTCCTCGAAGTTTCACAAAAACAAGATTTTTAAAGGATGGTATTTTTTCACTCGAAAACTTATGTGGGCTAGTTTACAAACAGCTACACAAACTTGTATAGCAAATTCAAAATGGCGAGTAATACTTTTGAAATACTGGCACTAATTAACAATGGATGTGGGATTTTAATGGGCACCGTAATTAAATCATAGTAAGCATGTTTTATTCGACTCCCTGGTATCAACTTAACGTAAGTTACGCTTTCATAGCTCTCACAATACCATAATCTATACACTAAGGCAGGTGACTACATTGACAGAATAATTATTCAGTTGTCAACTCCTGCAATTACGTTGGGTGATCAACCATTTTTCATACATTTCTACTTCCCAAATGCTCTGATTTATCTTTATTACTTACCGACAATAACGTCTGAGCTTCTTCAGCATTTAACAGACAGATAACCCCCCCACCCGCAGATATATGTTAAACTTTGATGAGGAGCCGACTTGTTATTAAATACAGATGAGTTTACTTAGGGAACAATTTAACCAAACAATGACTGAAGTGAACAAATTCGTAAATATTGTAATTAAAATAAACATTTTTAATTCTCGAAAGATGTTATTGAAAGTGATACTGGTTATATTCCGAACCACCTGGTTGCTTAGTCACTAAGGTAGGAAATCACGAACGTATCCTGAGATTCAGATATTTGGTTGAAAACAGAACAGGCTATGAACACTCAACAAAAGCATTTTGCTCACTCAAGTAGCGTGTCGCCTTATTAACATAAAAAATTATGTACTAAACACACGGGACTCGTACGGAAAAGTAACTTCATAATCATAAAATGACAATAAAACAATGCCTAATTCATGCCATTAATATGTATCAGAGAAAAAGGACGTACACATTCACTTTCAGAACGCGAAACCGTTTCTACTACGGTGCGTGCTATTCGTTTTGTATCCTCCAGCATTGAATCATAATCTTTTTGTTTCGGTTTTTGTATAACTGGCAAAGGATTTGCCCATGCACCTTGCGGCCCAGGAGGCATACGTGGGGATGATTCACGAGAACGATGAAGCAATGAATTTTGTTGACTCTGCTTAGTATGACTAAATGCACAATAAAGGAAAACAGGAAACCAAGTGATCCAATGCTCAAAGACTACATAAAAAAACAGGATGGCTACAATTTTACATCATATATTCGCAAAAAGCAACAACATTGTCCGACATCTACTGTCGTCAGATATATTTAACTGAGTTAAGATTTCCTGTGATATGGAATTTTAGTATAAAGGGTATGTGAAACGCACAGACATATCAGGCGATTGTTCTCCACACAAGTCCCATGCAATCTTATACAGTATACCGAGCATACCAAACCACTACCTTAATCTCCCATAGTCCCGTGAGATTAGCATAAGTTATCAGATGTCCACAATCTATGTTCACTTTCATAGTGATGCTAACTGGTTCGATGCAGTAGCTTATTGGTTTAGGCACTCGACACTTAGTAAATGGATTTTGATTTTGAAACTTGCTGTCTTTACTTCGTTCTGTGTATTTGGTTAGTATCATCATTCCTCAGACGATTAGTGTTGGTTGCCATCTCGATGAGATACCTAACCGGCCAGATAAAATGATTGGTGACAACATGCAATGATCGACGTTACCAAGATGATAATTGAGCATTTTGCCAATATCATGACCTAATCATTCACCCAGATCGATGTAGCTTTACAAACACTAGGCGAATTTCGCATATATGGAGTTCTTAAAGTGGTACACAACAAACTTTTAATGGTGCAAGGTACAGGTTACGTATGTCAAGCTACTTTGTTTTTCCAATACTAGAGATTTCAATAGTTTTTTTAGGTAACCTGCTGTCTACCTTGCTTCAGTTTTTTCTTCTGAAATAGGGAGGTTTGAGGAAAAGATGCTGCAGTATTCTGGTAAAGAAAGTCATGAGTTCGGAATGTCGTAACACGAATTAAATCTGCAGAAACTACGCTTATGTTACTTTTGATAGGCACTCCTGTATTAAAACGATTTTGTTATAAAAATATACTAGTAGCAAAAAAATAGTAACATAAAACTTGCCTGTCTTCAGAGGGACGAAGCAGGCCACTTCCTTGTGTCCAATTCGCTACCGTAGGTCCAAGTTTCCGAGAATCATAAGACTGTGGTGTCACAGCCAAACTAGAAGGAGTAAGTGGATTCACAGATTGCACCGATTTACGCTCTGAAAATTGAAATAAGTCTATAGTGAACTTACTTGGATCTGGTGGAATGAAATTTCTCCTTCCCTTGTCATCTACATTTCGTCTAGAAGTATCAATCTGTGGTTGAAGTTGTGTCGTATCCATTGGTTTCCAACCACGAGATCGTAATTCTACGAGCTCTTGTACTTTGTACATTTGATGAGTTTCTATTTTTTTCGAATCTTTATATTGTTCGAGTCGTTTAAAGCATGAATCCAAAATGGTTTTGCAATTTTGTTCAAGATCCTTGCCACACAAATTTAGGAAAATAATAAGTGAAGGCAGTGCTTCTGGTTCTGAGGAATCCCTCAGTTTTTTCAAGCATTCCGTTATGGTTTTTATTGGAAGAAATCCAGTGAGATAAAGTTCAGCAATAAACGTTATATTCCCGTAATAGGATTCTGTTTTTTTTAAAATACTGGTTTCACGATCCTCTTCAAACATTCTTTTCACTGAATCGTCCTTAGCTGAAGCAATTTTAGCGTCGATAGTGGTATTTAATTCGTTTATAAGGACCTAAAGCGTAACTAATTAATATCAAGACATACCTCTAGTCGTTTGTGGAACAACTCTTGTGTTAGTTGTAAAATAAGGACCGAAAATCGTTCTGAACCTTGTACTTCGAACTAAAAACATTAAAATGATTCATGTAACTTACCCCTTTGAGTTGCTTGCACAGATTCGCAAATACCTTACTGTATTTGGACTGTCTAATACCCTGAAAAACAAAACCACACAAACTTATAAACGAACTGCTTTTACTGCCATGAATCAAAAACTTCGCATCTGGGATAAATACTGTCATATTGCAAATGTTGAAACTTCAGAGTCAATTTTTCCGCATTAAGAGTTGTGTGCATTTACACAGTAGCCTGATATCACTTTAAAACCACTCAGAAAAGCACAATCCATTCAGGAAAACGATAATTCAGCATGAGTGTTCATATTACCATACTGAACATCAAGACTCATCGAAGGATACAGGCTTCAAAATTTTTTTCCAGCCTTGAATATGATATACGGTAGTTAGGCATTTCGCCACAAAAATCACTGAAAACATCTTCGGCGAACACGCTAATCAAGTTTCTTCGGATTGTCTTTCAGACCGGAACTACCTTTTAAATCCTTCTTTCGGTCTTAGTCACTCATTATTCATCTAATACAATCTTCTTGAGTGGTGTCAACCATCAGTTATCAGGTTCCTGAGTATTTGCATGAGGATAGGTTCATCCCGACGGCTGCGTAAATCAACCTCAATACAAGGCCGGTCATTGTTTACGAAATACCAGTGGTTTGACAGAAAACTACTATCAAAAGCGTTGAACATACATGAGCACTCGTCTCTATCGCAGATACCTCAGCTTAAATCTATCATGTTCAGTTTGATCGCATAAATTGTGTTTTTTGTTTAATATTCAAAATGTAGCACTTCATTTAGTATCCAAGGCTGACTGGAACCACTTATTCCACACAATTAGTTTCATAAGTGGGACGAACAACTTCTCGTTATCTTATGTATGCCAAACTAGAACACTTGCCGCTGTACTCAAAAGCGTCGTGTCTACATTCGAGCGGATTACTTCGCACAGACAGACCTCACACATGTCAGCATTTGGAAACTGGCCAAGCTTAAAATCTGACAGGTTTGTATGCAGCTAGTGCAATTCAAACGCATATATCCACCTATGAGAAGTGCAAAGTGAGTAAAAACCCATCATCATAATAACGAGCAATGCAACTCTACCATAATACTACGCAGAAAACCACTACGTAGGTTACCTTACAGGCACTTATAAGAATGTATGCGGCTCAGGAATTGCAAGCAGTAAACAAGTAGACTTACCTTTTGAAATATTGTCTTTGCCAACAGATTGAGATCATCGGGTGTCGATATTTTAAGCATCTTGATATCATTTATTGTTTCTTGGATGTTGTTATCCGACACTCGATTAAGGATAATGTTTAGCTCCTGGGCTATATTTTTAGCATCTGTTACACCATTTGCATCCTGACTACGCAGTTTTGATGGAACAAATGCACCTTCGACACGTTTTACAGTAATGGTTTTAAGCAGTTTGATGACTTTATTTCTAGGCCCATGGTTTGATCTCGTGCGACTCATCTGCAAATACAATTTATCTTAAGGAATACTTACCTTCATGGCATTTGCGAACTGGTTCATAATTGCCTATACATTAAATGTATTAACAAATATTAATCTTACCTGAATCCCTTCCAAAGTAATCAGTGATGCCGAATCTTTGCGACCAAGAATGAAGTCTCGTGGGTATCTGTTTCTTCCCATGACTTCCTCCTCCTCCTCCTCTTCTTCTTCCTCCTCTTTCACTTCTTTATCCTCTTCTGCATCATCCCAATCTACGACATCCTCTTGTGACGAGTGTTCCTCCTTTGACTTGTTGCATTCAGATACCTCGACACGTGTTATTTCTGAGACAATATCCTTCGTCTCGCAATCCTCATGTGATACTGTTTCGGTACTTGATATGCCCTCGTCCTTAAAATCAGCACAAGATTTTTCTGTTTCTTTTTCCATAATCGGTGGCGATTCATCTAATATGAGCTGGGGTAACAAAGGTAATCTTTTCCGTGGTTCTGAAGGAGATTTTGAAGCTTCTTCTAGATTTACTGCAGATTTGGTCTGTGGGTCAATCACATCAAGTGGTCTTCTCTCTCTGACTGGTATAGACATGCTGTCACTTGAAGTATGGATTGCATTTGACTGATTTGGGATATTCGCAACTTGGGGTACTAGGGGGCTGAAGTTAAGTTGGTGCTGAAAATGTCCGTAATCAGTATGAGCCGCCATACTCATGTGTTCATGCTGCTGGACCTCAAAGGGCATGGGACAAAAAAACGGTTGTAATCCGCAGATGTAGCGATGATCCATGTTGCGGATAGGATAGAATGGGCCTTGAGCCGTCGGCATAGCTACATTTTCTAAGAAAGTGTTAACAAAGCTACAAACATACCTAAACGTGAACCTGGCTGAGGCTGTAAAAACAAAAAGATACATAAACCAGTTATGTAGAGAAGAAAAAGAACCCAACCAACTATAACAAAACTAGTATCTTACAGGCCTAGTGCACTCGATAGAACCGAGTGGAACTACTGGTTTCAAAAATACCTGACATGAGTATGGAAAATACATCGAGTTATAAGATCAGCAGCATCAACTTACGAGATATGGCATTGCCTAAATATAAATGTCAACAAGCGTGTTTTAACCTACCATGTGCTGAGCGTCAGTTGGCCTGCTACTGCTAAAAAAATCAAATAAAACTGTTTAGTGAAGTGATTTTGAACATACACAGGCAAGTTGTACATGTTAGGAAACGGAATAGACTGCTGATCACTCATGGGACTGCATCTACCAACATGCAGAGTGAAAATAATAAGTGTGCCCACCCTAACCACGGAACCTCACAGACGTGGCCATCAATGCATTAAAACAAATAAGTTTGCTAGACATGCCAAAAATTACCTAGGTTGGTATCTACACCGGCATTACTAGCTTTAAAGACTGAAAGGGTTTATATTCATTTTATTCTGTATGTAAAACACCAACATCTGCATAATTCAAAATGATCAGATATCGATTATTACACTGCTACCCCCCTTACAATCGCTGCCCTCAAATGCACATTTTTTGCAAATTTTTGGGTTGCATTTCTTATAAACTGATGAAATCAAGGAAATGGTCTCCACTTAAGTAAAAAATTAACCAATGACATGAATCATTAAACATTTGTGTTCACGAAAGAAACTTCCACTACGCTTACAAGGAAAAGAGCATTTAGAATTCTTTGAGTTTTGGCTTCCCATTACTAGTATGTGTTCTTCTTCGGCTCACTGAAACAGCGAGAGAGAACATCTAAAGTGCCGTCTCATCTGAATACATAGATACCAACTGTCTGAAACAGAGTTCCACAATATACACTTTCTGCACTAATATTATCAAATCATTACGCGAAAGTTTCCGAAAATATTATGGAAATGTCTTCACAGACTCTCCAGGCACAGAGCTCCGCATCACGGATTCTTTCTACCAGTGTTGTCAACACACCAAATGACTCCTCATGTTATGCTTCAGATAGTAAATTGTACATTTACTGCTAGGATGTGAGGAAATGTAAGCAATGTGTTAGATCACTGTTACACATCTACAGGTTCGTCGAAAAACTATAACTCAGGCATATTTTTCACTGACCTTAACGATGACCAACAAGTAAGAAGTCGATGTGCTGATGTCTTAACAGAAAGCGCATCCACAAAACCCTCAAACCGTTTATAAGCGTGAGGGGTTTATGCAACAGTCAACCACGGAGTTACGTATCTTTTGTGGTACTTCTAATTGTAAATGTGGGGCGTGACTCGTACTCTACGTATCCGAACAACCTACAAATATTTGTTGTCGTATTATATTGACACAGGCTTGAATAGTAGCTCATCAGATGAAGACTATACCAAGTCTAGAACTGGCTGCAGTCGTCTTTGTGACGAGGAGTATCCATATGCCTTCCGGTAACGACATAACCTTCATAGCAATGGCATTTGGACTTACCCAGAAACTGGTTTGCAATACACGGGACATTTGTAATCAGCCGGGCTTCAGTAGTGTATAGGCTTATTCGATTGTCTCGTTGGAGACATTTGCATTATATAAGAGATGCAGCGGGCTTTACATTTGGTGTATTATCTTAAGATGTAGTTCCAGAATTCCCCATTTTTAAATGGTCCCGAAACAAAATGGTCAACCTCTGACAATACTGTGGAACAGAGTAGCAATCTGTTAGACATAAAGGCTGAGGAGGCAGTAAAAGTCACAATTAATGATTTTGACTTGAAATGGATTCTGTATTCACAAACTGAACAAGGATGTTGTAGTCAATGGTGTTGGTGACTAGATCTAAATGCTACACTCTCATAATGATACTCCACTTGTTCTCGAAGCCCTGAAAGTATAGGATTCTTAACATGCAGCTTAGAACATCTTAAAAATTGTCAAGCAGTAGAATGATACTGAAGGGAATCTAAATATGACCAAAGTCCTTACCACCTTAAGGAAAGGATTCAGAGCCCTAGGTGGTGGTGTAGAATTGAGAAATTCCATTGGAAACTGTATGGGTTACCACAGGAGCAACATTAGTCACGGAGCCAATTAATGACACCTACCTCGACGGTCATTGTTGGGATAGACAACTAACATTTCTCTTCACTAGATGTGGACTGTTTTGGACAGTGATACTGAGTAGGAGAATAGAACAGCGCGATACAGTCGTTCTCACGTGCTTGAAATTTTCAGCTGTACGTCCAAAAGTAATGTATAGCGAACCCTCGCATTCTTTGACAGCGACAATAATTTACTAAGAAGAGGTATAAACAAGCGTTTTGATTCATCAGCTGCTATCCTTGGACGTGACACATTGTACAAACCGTACGTAACACTTTAAACGGATTCTTTGATAAGAAAACACTGACATACGAAAATTTTGCGACTTTATTAGTGGAGGCCGGATGTATTACAAATAACAGACATCTGGTCCCGCAAACTTTGGACACTGGTGAGCTTGAAGTCCTGATGTATACTTAGTTACTATTGCTATAGAAGAAGTCGTTAGACATCAGCATTACCCAGCATGATAATAGGTTCTCTAAAAGGTGACTACCAGTCAACTAATTATTGAAAGGATTTTGGAAAAGCTGGTTCTTAGTATAAGTTTGTTTTAGAAATGACAAAAATGGTTGGATACTAGGAGGAATGTACTTTCTAGCAACTTAGTTATGGCACTAGAAACTTACTCATGGGAACCAATGACAGCTAGGTCTTGAGCAACGGACGTTGCCTAGTGAACATGTATTTGTTAGACAGTTGAAAGCGAAGATAGAAAAAGGGTTAATAGTCAAAGACTTCTAATTGTGCCAATGAACAACCGTAAGTATTACGTTCTCCTCCCATTCTTTGATTGGAGGCTGCTCAAGAGCTACCTAACCACCATGCATGGCTGAGGTAGAACAAGAAGTCGGCCAGTTATGTGACCAAAGCACAATTACGGCAGGATAGATGGTCACACACAGATTATGGGAATTAATTCCAGATGAGACCAACAAGAAAGTTAACCGGCCCCTTGGAAATTTATTATGGAAACAATAATGTTATCATGTTATTTTCGATGTTCTTTCACCGACTTCTTCAATTGCCAGTGATGCCCTTGCTGAATGTATTGAGTGCAATAAACGTCCAACCACAGAAAAACGTTGTTTTTATGGCGGCTTATCCCTGCTCGGTCAACCTCTCTTTGCCACTACAGAGCTGGAAGAATATGGCGTTTTTTCATAGTTCAGTGGTGTCGAATTCGTCGGCTGTGGAAACACTTTCAGTGATTCTTCTCGTTCAGGTCCTGTAGTGAAGTTACGGAGTTTTTGGGTTGATAAAATGGTGAGAAACTGGATTCGGGACTCGCCCAGGGACAGAAAATACAGGGTAATGATAAACGACATTTTATCACCGTAGCAAGCAGTGAAGAGTGGTGCATCTCACTGTGTATTTCTGGGCCCTTCTCTGTTCATACTTTATGAGAATAAGAAACAGATGACAATTATACCATCCTATCTATTGTTCTCCAACACGGTAAGTCTCTGCAGGGCTTTAGAAAAAGCTCTGCGACAGGATTTAGGTCTGCTTGTTGAAAGATGTAATATTTGGCCCTTGAAAATTGACGCAATTATTCGCGCTGTTATGCATGCCACTCTTAAAATCATGTAAGACTTTTCGACTGGCGACTTCGCTCTGCCTATGATCATCAAGTATAAGGACCTAAGAGTGATTCTGAAAGTCGGTTGACTACTGAGCAGAGGTTTTGAATGCCTGGAAAATGCTGCGGGCTCTTTGTTAGACGCTGATATATTTCGCAAATCATGTCTGACCAAAATCATGCGGTTTTCGGATAGCGAGCTCATGTTTTGAATTTGAAGTGGATGTAGTAAAAAGGTTCAGGGGCTGTGGACTACATTCAGCGACGTAGTCTCAAATCTTTGACATATAGAAAGATTTATTTATGTCTACTCTCATACTAGTGGTTGAGCGCTGAACCTATTCTAATATTCCTCATACTGTGTCCAGACTGGGATGCTAATTACTCCTGTCTGCCTTCTGCATCCCCTTTCGGAACCGGACACTCATATGAACATCACACCAAACCACATCCGAGTCGTCCACTTGTGGTAGCTGGCCCTGCATTGTGGATAAATGGAATTTCCTGTCGGATCATTTTTCTTAACTTTTCATTGGTTCATTCAAGCCAAGGTTGAACCTAAGCTGCCTGAATCCTAGTATCCTGATTAATCTAAGATTGTTGTTGTAGTTGAAGACATATAGGACCCCATACATAGCACCAACGAAGGAAAGACAGATTTGAAAAGTACCCGCAGCTCAAGCAGTTTTAAATAGCCTAATAAACAGCTACGGTCCTAACAACGGGTTTTGTTGACCAAGGGTTCACTCAGTAGGTTTAGAATTAGGGGCAAAGGCTTCAAGAAGGCGATTAGTTTTTCCACAATTCAGAGAGACAGAAATGAGTAGCTAGTTAGAATCCACATCTCTATTTTTTGTAAGATTTTGATTACATATAGAACCTTACTGATTATGATTGCTATTTTCACTTCAGTAAGAAGCCACTTAACGTGCGAGAAAAATAGATAACGTCATGAATCGCTAATAATTCTGGCATATGTGTCGTTTTATATAACTGGAAGAAAATGTCTGAGTTCAGTAAATTACTACGTGAAAAATAAAGTTTTTTTATTGAAGCGTATGCAATCAGCTTATTCTTACAATACGACAAACCACTGTTTACTGGGTCATACTAGAATTTCAGTGCTGGACCAAACGATCACTGGTCATTTCAAGTTTGGAGGCTGAAAGTTTTACTTTCATAGGATACAGATTATGGCGTATAACTAAAGGGGGTAAAGGTGAGAAGATAGCAAAACTTAGTGAATTAGTAGTTTGTTGAAATACGAAACGTATCAGGGAGTGTGTGGTGCTAAGTCTGTTCTATGGAAAGTCCTCAAATTTAGCATTTACTTTCAGGTACTATATTGTGATACAAGTTATTGTTTGATGCCATGAAGATTAGAAGTAAATGAATTGCAGGAATTCTCTAGCTATAGATGAAATTTGCGATGGGTCTGGCTCAAAACCATGTGGCACAACCAGCAAAGTATTTTTCCATAAACATGATGGAGCCCCTAACCTGATTTCTGACGTTAACACTATGAGAAAATAGCTGGAGAGATGACAGATTACCTCTAGAGAACTTTCACAAACGACTCGTCATTAACCAAAGTGTCAACTCTGATCGCACCAAGAGAGTTCTACCAGTCTCTATCTAACTGGACACAGTTAAATCAGCAGAATCCGATGTTCTCCATCAAAAGCT